TTTAAGCTCAAGACAACAATACTTTTGGAATGCTGTAAAAAAGTCCTGTCAAAAATGGCTAGTAAAAAAATTTGTGAGAAGAAAAAAACCTCTCCGATCGCAAATATTCCGTTACTTTCGTTACGAAAGTCGGATCAACAACTCAACGTTTTTGGTCTTTGTTTGCCTAACTTATTTCCTAGTATCTAAGCTATATTGACTATGGTATCTTGGATATTATTAGTTAGTTTTCGCCAAAAGCAAACAATAAGCAAGATCTTGAATGCATCAGTGACTAATAGATTTTGAAGAACCAGATTCATTGTCACTTGTGGTCGGCTATTACGATGGTCTTGTGTGTTCTAAAATGCAGTCAATATAAGCGATTCCCTTGTCGACCTCAGACAATGAACTTGATTGAAAACCGAGTTTAAATCAGTGTTTTATCAATTTAAAATTACCCGCACCGGAGTTCCATGGATAATAATCGATTATAATGGAAAAATGTTGTCTAAAATGTTGTCACTATAATCCATTATTATCCCTTATAATCCATTATTGTGGCAAATTTAGACCACGTAATCGATTATGTGGTCATTAAAATCGATTTTTTTGAAAAAAAATCCATTATAATCGATTATAATCCATTATTTTTGTCAATGAAATCGATTATTTTTGCCAAAATAATCCATTATAATCAATTAATCAATTATTTTGAATCTGGGGGGGGGGGTTTGATTAAATAAATTCGGGTAAACTGGGGGAGGGTAAATGGAGGACTGGTAAACTGGGGGAGGGTAATGGTGGGGGGGGGGGGAGTTAGCGGGGGGGGGTAGTAAACTGGGTTAAAAAAAATTATAATTATTATCTTATTATCCATGGAACTCCGGTGGGGGTTCCAAGTTTTCAAACCCCTGAAAATTTAGTTTTATTAGGGTTTTGGTTAAAAAACAGTGAAATGAAGTGTTAGTTAAACTGCGATGAATTAAAAAAAATAGAGACAAAAAAAAATAATTTTTTTTTTGAAATGTAACATTTTATGAAACGTAATTCGTAGCAACTGCACTAAACAGGAAATGAAATAATTTTGAACAAAATTGTAAATTTCAAGAATAACCCCTCAAAAAAATTCATTATAATCGATTATAATTGATTAAAAATGGATTATTTTGCCTCGAAATTAGGTTTCATTTTCTTTCAAAAACAATCGATTATAATCGATTATATTCGGAGTTTATTGATTAGAAAAATAGTTTCATTATAATCCATTTTTATTCGATTATAATCGATTATTATCGAAATTTTTTAAGACAGACCACGAAAACTCAATGTAATCGATTATTATCCATGGAACTCCGGTGCGGGTAGCTATATGCTTTTCAAATTCATTTATTTACAGATTTTGCGTTCTGCCGAGCAAAGTTTTGCAACAATAATTTTCTGCCTCAAGGCAAAACAATAATTTTCTGCATCATTTGAGTTTTTTAGCGCAACTTTGGGAATCAGAAACTTAAAAGTTCAAAGAGTTTCCGCAAAAATTTTTTTAAATCTTTATTGGAAAACTTTTCAATTTTTTCAGTTTTCTAGTCATTATTCTTAAATAACTGTAACTAGATCAGTAACTTTTTACAAATTTATTCGTTTTTTTTTCATAAAAAAAACTGTAACTCTTTAACTGGTCTTAAACTGTCAATTACAAAAAATCTCTGACATTTATTGAATGATATATCATATAAAAGCCCTTTTAGTCGTGATTTCAACAATTTTGAAAATGTTGTACTTTTTTAAGACAATGGTCGGAACTTTAATCAGCTATCCTTGTTGTTCCGACCATTGAAAATAGGGAGAAAAGTTGAATTCGGGTGTGTTTTAGTTTTTTTTCCACGCAAAATCAGCTACCACAAATCATCATCGGACAAGATTGAGTGATATATCATATAGAAGCCCTTTCAGTCGTAATTCGGACGACGCTAACAAATTTCAAGTTTTTTCACAATGTCAAGAGTAACCGGTTTGAAATTTTTGATTTTTCGTCTAATTTCGAGCTAACTAAAAACATAGTTAGTAATTGCAATAGCTTATTCAAGCTCAGTTTTAATTCAAGTTCTGTAGCCGTTTAAGTTAAGTAAATGGTATTTTGGGAACCAAATAATTCAAAAAACAAAAACTTTTCGCAATTTTTTTGTCTTTTCATTTTTTTAGCCATTTTTTTTCAAAGCTGTTTTGCAGTTGAACTATTTTTCTATGACTTTCAAATACGCCGAAGTTCTATTTTTTCATTTATCACAACATGCAGAAAAAGCGACAATAATTTGAGAAAATATTTTTGTACTTTTTAAGACTGTGGTCGGAACATTCTGTGCTACTTGCTTGCGCAGTAACCCGCTTTTCTTGTTAAAACTTGTAAGCACTGACGATGAAACTAATAAATTTTACATCTATAGCCTTAAAACTCGTGTGCGTATTGATGAGAAAAAGCAAATATTGATGAGAAAAAAAGTAAAAAAGATGATTGTTTTTACTTGAATTAAAATCACGGTCTTATCATAAAGGAAAATGAAAAAGCATTCATCAAATCCAATTTCTGTACTCATAAACTTAATTTTGAAAAATTTTGAGTCTGAAGAAAACAAATAGCTCGCATCTTTAAAAATAAATAGTAAAAAACTTCAACGCCGCCACCTGGTGGTTCAGAATCAATTTCAAGACAATCAGCTTGATAACTCTCACTCCTGTTTTCCTTCAACAATTTCTCGTATTTTTCACTATATTTTTATTGTGTTTTTCAGTTACCCTTCAAGATACTTGTTTTCTATCGGTCTCGCTTTACTTAGCTTTAGGAGAGACATACTACAGTTTCGAGTTGCAGTTTCAAACAACTCTACTCAGAAAAATGAGCAATCGACAAGTTATAACAAGGATAGACGGTTGCGTGTTCAAGTAGCACAGAATATACCGACCAGTTTCGAGAAAATTTTTTTTTCTGTTGATTTAACGAACACGGTAGAAACATTCTGTGCACACTCAACCATCTATCCTTAAGTAGAGTTTTTTCTATAAGTGAAGTTGTTTGAAAATTTTTAATCGAGGCTAGAGAAATTTCTCTCATAAGCTCATAAGTTAAATATAAAGCGAGACCGACAGCAAACAAGTATCCTGCGGGCTAGTGTGTTTCATAATCGACAACATTTGTGTTTCAAAAAATGAATAACAAATATGCATATGAAAAATGATTACGAAAAAAATTCTTATTTAGAAAGTTTTTTGCCCGAATAAGCGCTGTATGAAATATCAAAAACTAGTTTTCTTCATAACTAATTTTTTATTCTAACGAGTGTTACTCGATTGCGTTACTTGCTCGAAAGAAGACTGATTCTCAAAAATTTCAAACCAGTGTTTATCAACAGTTTTACATTTTTCCGAAAGTTTTCAAATGTCGTTCGAATCGCGACAGAAAAACTTTATGATGGTTTATCATTCAACCCATTCTGATGACTACTTGTTGTTTCTGATGTTGCTTGTAAGTAACAAAACCAAAAAAACTAGAACACAACAGAACACACCCAAATGCAAATTTTTTCACCATTTTCAATGCTCGGAACAACAAAAGCGTTACGAGATATTTATGTTAATGATGCTATCTTCCAATAGACATCCAGTCAAGTCCACAAGACAGGCAGCAAACCATACCGGACTCCCAGGAGTGTTACTACTCCTCTTCCCGACGAACTTTTCCATGTTCATTCGTCAGTACTGAGGGATTCTCGGTTGAATTTTGTTCCTCTCTTACTAATATGCTCAAGCTCAGGGGATTCTTTTTTCTAAATCAGGTTAAGATTTAAGGGCACTCAAGCATGCATAGAACCACCAAAGCAGTTATGTGCAGGAGTTTTTCACTTTCACTATGGCCAACTGAGTATCAAACATTGCAAAAACTACACCGGGACTACATCTGAACAGCTCTTTGATCAACAGATTAGCCAGTTTCGAGCCATTTGGTTCTATCCAATCCCTGAGGATATCGATAACACACGAGCACAAGGACGGGTCAGTTCCAGGACCAAGCTAGGAGCACTCTAATTATAAGTGTTCAATGTTTCGATAACAATAAGTCAACGTAGTTATTTAATAAACGAGTTGTTTAAACTTTTGAGAATAACAAACTCAGTTAAGCAGTGATTGTTGCACCCTGGAGTTCTGACATGGACAACCACGTCCAACCATACCTATAAGCTACTTATTAACGGCTGCTACACAGGTAATCAAAGAGCATCAAAAATTTGGCTACCTTGGTTTGGATTCCCCCTTGTTCCCAGTTCTCTGTATCGGGTCAACGATTAGTTAGAGCAAAACCAACCGTATTTAGAGTCCGAGCTGTCTGGGGTTTACTCTCCGTTTCTTGCGTTACCAAAAAATTTAAAAAAATTATTGTCATTTAAATATTTGAGGCAGCTTTAGGGTCATGAAATTAGAGTTTTGCGGGAAAAGCGATTATAACATGGAGTGTAGAGATATCGAAGTCACAAAGAATTATGTCTGGAAACTTATCTGTGTAGTTGTATCTTATTTGTATCATTATAGCTGTATCATCATAATTGTCCAAAACAAACAAAAACATTGTTGGGAGTTCTCTCAAATGTCATGTCAATGTTTTTTTTTGCTCGGAGACCCCCCTTTATTATCTGTTTGGCCGGAGTTTCAGTTCGATGAAAAATTTCATGCTGAACTCAAGTTGTTTCTCTCAATTTTGTTTGGGCACAGAGCAAACAAAACTTCTCTCTTTGAAACCCGTGTTTGATAACATCGCATTGCAAGCATCATGAAAATCATCATCATTTGGATTTTGGATGTTTACGAAAATTTCGAATTCAGTTGACGTGACTTCAGAATCTTGAATTCACTTCAGATCTAATATAACAAACTGTCTGTTCGTTTGTTTGTTTTCTGATAAATTCTACATTTGGACAAATTTACCAAGGGATTAAACAACAACTTAACCATTTAGGCATAAATAACAGAAGTCAAGTGCATATGTGTATCCTAAATTATATTGAACCTTCAAAACCATCAGAAACTTCTTGTCAAATACGTAGAAAACATTGTAAATGTCAACTTTATACGTTGTTGTCCTGTTTTAATCCCATGTTTGCGATGTTTGATTTGAGCTTTCGTTAAGATGAGAGTTTTGAGAGCGGCATAAGAGAGCTTATCATATGTGGCCATGGCCTCGTATTCATCATATTACTATTCCGGCCAAGACCCTGATGATTGCCCCTCTCCGACATATTACACTGCACATAACTGCAACAATATTGAAAGCTATATAGAGATAAACTATTTTGCTAATTCTAACAAGACTTCTTCGACAAACAGTTGTTATCAGAAAGAAATCATACCAGTATGTACGGCTAATTTAACGTCTGAAATGCCTGGTAGTCGTACTAAAGAACCCGCTGTTATCCAAAGCGGCCATAGTAGTCCAATACCTTCACAGGGTTTGCTCATTTCGGATATCCAGAATAACCCAATTTTCCGGAAGAAAGGGGAGAGTTGTAAACAGCCTCCTCCCCCATTATCGGATATCCAAAACAACCCAATTTTCCGCAAGAACAAGGAAATTAACAAGCAGCATCCGCCGCCGTTGTCAACTAAACCTCTGTCATCTCCTAAGCCCGCGACACCGCCCAAACCCTCGATATCCCCGAAAACCTCGCCTTCACAAAAATCACCAGTATCACTTCAACCCGCACCCGAAAATGGGATCCTGCGATCTACCAAAAAAACGCCAGCGAGTAGTGCCCCCGCTTCCCCTGTTGGATTCATGTTACCCGAACCAGAGTCAAGGTGGGACGGATCGCCAGCCGATCAGAGAATGGAGACGTTGAAACTGACGATGCCAGAAGTAGGGAGCCAGTTTTTGTTGCACCTTACAAAATAACTGTTAGGTTTCCGTTTACTGCAAAACGCTACTAGTTGCATAAAAGCTGATTTCTTCCCAAAACCGGCCTAAATTCTAGATCTTGCTTGTTATTAGATTGATGTTATGGTGACCAATGTTTTATAGGGTTATGGGGATTGAAAATTGCTAATTTGGTCAATTTCGAATTCTTAACTGTAGAATAATGTCGCTGCTGAAATTTGCGCAGAGATTTT